TTAAGAGAAAATCCAATATGTAATATTACAGAATTAAAACAAGCTATTACGGAAGTTAATCTAAACTTAGAATTGCATATAGAATAATTCTAATAATAAAGATTAATTTAATCAAATGGCTGTAAGTATGTATTTAATTACACTTTCGGTTATGGGGAGCATGAAAAAACTATTAACTTATAAAATTGAAATTGAAATCATTGAATTTGTGTGTCTTGTATAAGATACTTTTAACTGTAAGGAAAATATTAAAGTTGTATATGTAAATATTAAACCTATATATGTTGTATACTGTGTCTAAAGAAACCGATAAACTTTGGAAATGTTGTAATGTGTTCAAAACATTTATACCTATGATTACAATTAAAACACATACAATTCTATATATTGTTAATGATGTTAGTACCAATTGATTTTAATAGCATTTTATAAATAAATGTATTTTAACAAAAAATTACAATAAAAATTTTGAATCGATAAAAAACTACTTTCGAAAACCTGATAAATTCAATTGGACTGAAATTTTGCATATAGATCCCTTTTAGATGAAAGCAACGTTTGCAAAAGGAATTTTTGACGATGGGAAGATTGAGATGCAAAATTTTGCAAAAAAGTGTTTTATCATTTTAATATCACTTTCTGTAATTTTTGAAGTTTTCATATTTTTATTGGTCTGATATCGTTTCCATAGTTTTATTTTAGATAAGAAAAATGTTTACGAGAAGAATTTCGGACAATTCTAGAGTTAAGACAGAATTTTAAGAAAAACATTGTAATATCATTCCCTATGTTACCATTGCAGTACAGGGCAAGCACTGCTTCAGAATGCTTACGAAAATAGCTGTTTTTGAAAACGCCAGAAAACATTGTAGTGAAAATCGTAGGTAAGGGATTAATACGCTAGCAAGTAGTATATTGTTAAGCACTTTTTGCTACTTTTGGCTTCTAGATATGGGAATAAAGCGCCTTGACACTTAATAATTGACTCACCATAAACCCGCGCCTGGTACTAGGTAATCTATAACGCTCAAATAAAGGTCCAAGCTACCCTCTGGTAAATGTACCTCAATGATCTTCGATTCCCAGTATGAAAAGGGTTTGTTTTTTACAATGAAGGGATGTAGTGAGGGCACTCCGCCCACCCCCTGCCCCCGTTTTTACTTTATATAATAGCCAAAAATCATTCCAGTTCAAATATTCTGCCGAATACTCAAATATATATATATATATTTTGAAATTTTGAAATTTTGAAATTATATTTTGATATTTTGAAATTGAATATATATATTCAATTATACATATATATACATATATATATATATGTATATATATATATATACATATTCAATTTCAAAATATTCAATTTTTATTTAAATACTTCTGCATTATTAAATAATTCTGAACAGATCTTTTTATTCAGTTAAAAAAGCTAAAAGATATAAAATGTGTATATACGTCAAATTTATGATGAAAAAATATCGAGTTCTATTGTAATTTCATTCCACGTTGTGTCGGCATTGTAGAGAGTGATACTACTTTGATAAAACGCTTTTTCGCTAAATTTTGTCTGAACTTTGGAATTGCTAAAAATTCTTTTCATGGACACCTTCCCTTTACGAAATGAAGCTATATCAGAACAATATCAAACCAATCAGAACATGACAGTGACACTAAAATGATTAGACACTTTTTTGCAAAATTTTACATTTTAACTTTTAACTCTTCTAGCAAACATTGTTTCTACTTAAAAGGGACCTATGTACAAAATTGCAGCTCTATCAGATTTGTCAGGTTTTCAAAAGTTTCGTCTTGGAATGGTTTCTCTGCTACTGCACAAGATGACACTAAAACATAAAACTTGCGTATTCATTTTTGTTACAATTTTCTCTCTATTAATCTTTTCATTTTCAGGCATTTTATATTTATCTAAAATTTTATCCAATTCGATGTTTTAATGATTCTATTTAAACTTTGAAAAAGGAAATGTTCTTATACTATGATAAATTTAAATTCATCTATTGCTCTTTATTATTCCCTTAAATGTGGCATTTTGTGATGGAAGCAGTACGTAGTACCAAAAATGACCGCCACTTGTCGCTACATAATAAGGCATACTTTGTGTTTAGCTTTTTAAAAATCCAAATGTGGACTTAGGTAATGACATGGGAATCAGTTCTCGGTTGATCGAATAAGGAAACAGAACTTTATATATCTTTTCCCTTTTTATACAACGAAATACAAAGCAATTATTATTTACGTAAGTAAAAACATTCCTTACAAAAGTATATATACTGGATTTATTTTTTATAATCACCAATATCTAACAAAAAATTACATTTTTTTGGAAATAAGTTTATTGTTAAATTAAGCAATTTATTATGAATGTTCCAATGATATTTTGAAAAATTTACTATCGTATTGCATAAAAATTGTTAGTTCTATATTTCATCATTAAATGTGGCCATTTTTTTATTTTTTAGAATCATGGTATAAAATACCAAAATATTTTACTTTTAAAATAAAATACGCATTAATTTTCTTTATTTTTAAATATTTCATGTTACTTTTAGTTTTAAAATAGTGTTTAATGTTCATTGTTAAT